CTTTTAACTGCTGAGTCTTCTCCCCAGCCCCAAAAGAGTATCCTTTTGGGAGTCCAATATTTGAGACACCTTTTCTACAATGTTCTGCTATTTAAAAAATTATTATTTTAATTTATATGTATGAATGCATTGCTTGCATGCATGTAAGTGCACCTATGTCATACAGTGCTTGAAGAGGTCAGAAGAGGGCATTGGATCCCCTGGAACTGGATTTACAGATGGCTGTTAGCCACCATGTGGGTGCTGGGAACCAAACCCAGGTCCTCTGTAAGAGCAACCAGTCCTCTTAACCACTGAGCCATCTCTCCAATCCCTGTTCTGCCATTTTTTAAAGCTGTGATTCAGATATCTCCAAGAATAAGCTTTTGCTTTTAACCTCTAGGGCCGTTGCCATGATCACTTTCTAAATACTGTTCATTGCTTGCATGTCAATTATCTGTGTTGTTCCTCAATCCATTCAGCAACAGATAGAAACGTTTATGTACCTGTGCCTTCCTTCTGACAGAAAAATATTACATATGATATCTTCGTTATATTCCCATGCCACCACACTCTTAGTATTCTGTGCAAGGGAAGGTGATTTTTTGATCAAGATATTAGAATTTCATGCTAAACACATGAATTTGCATCCTGAGAAACAAAACTGTTACAGGAAGCTGTCAAAACGGTTATGAAAGTGAATTATTTCCCAGACCAAGCACACATCTCAGCAAATCCTTTGAGAACATACTTAAAAATTGTTCCACTCTTGAGAAGTTCACGAGTGTTAAAATGTCTTACACTGAAATTCACGTGTCACAGAAATGAGCAGACAGAAGGAAAAAAATTCATTGAAAACACATTATTTATTTCATTAAAATGAATTAAGAAAACAGTTTATTAATTTCAGTTAAATCCTATAGAATTAAAAAAAAACTAAGTAAAAGCAAATGAAAATTTACAGAGTCTGACATGCATCAGCTATACTTTTGAGGGTTAATATCTAAAATAAAGAACTGGAAAAACTAAACATAAGAAATTAAAGTGGTACAAGGAGTTGAACAGGGAATTCTCTAAAGGTGAAACATATGTGTCTGAGGAAAAAAATGGTTCAACACCTGTAGTCATCAGAAAAAAAAATGCAGATTAAAACTTATTTGAGGTTTAATTTTATTCCTTTTAGAATGGCAAAGTTCCAAAAAAAAAAACCCAAAAAAACAAAAAAACAAAAACAAGCAAGGATAAATGCTTATGAGGCTGTAGAGAAAGGGGGTCTCTGTAGTCTCTCTTTATTAGATATTCATGTGTTATAAAGCCCACATGGATTGAAACTCATTTTGTTGCCTAGGATGACTTCAGTCTTCCAGCTCATGATCATCCTAACTCTGTTCTCTCATTGCTGGGATTACAGTCATATTCAGCTCCCTAAACAAAATTTCCTGGAAATGGAGTAGTAGGATTTACAATTTGAGGCAAATTTCTATGGGGTTGAGCATATTCTTTATCTTAATTTATGCATTAGCCAATAGATATACATGAAACATATTTCTAAATGATTCAACCACTTATGCCATTTCAATATTTGTTTCACTGTATTTAAGTTTTTCCTCAGTTCTTATACATATGGAAGTCATATAGAGAGCATATATACAATGTTATGAGAGACAGTGTATTTAACTTAACAGTAGACGTTGTTTCTGGTAAGTTATCCTAAATAGTATCCAATAGTGTCAGGAAATATATTGCACTTATGTGTAATTTGTCCACATGTACTATATTACAATGGCCATTCAGCTGTAGTATTTTTTGAGCTATCAGCTGTTAACGCTAATCATGACCTTGTGAGTGGGTGGGTACCTTTACATAATGTAGGTCTCCTCAGAATCGTACAGATCATTTGCGTTCTTTTGTTCCTTTCTTTGAATTGTTCCCTATATTTTCTCACAGGGGAACATGTAGAGTTTCCTAGACAATCAGAACCAAATTTCAAAGCTGTACTTTTAATTCTCTCAGAATATTTAGGCATAATGATATGAATGAATTAGATGCTATTTCCTCAGGGAGCGTCAGGGATGCTGAGGGATGAAAAGGGATGAGAGAGGGATGAAAGCTACAAAATCTCCCTACACACAGAAAGTGTATGAGCAGAATGGGAACAGAAAATCAGATTTTTCCTTAAAGGTCAGTAGATACAAACCGTCTGAATTTGAAGACAACTGAGTACAGGGAGCTTTCTATTATGTCTAATTCATGATCATAAATATTTTAAAGGGAAATGTGAGCTAAGCTTCTCAAAAATGTCTCATAAAGCATTTTCTCTTTTGTTAATGAGAGTTTCCTGAAGTAATAATGTATTTTAGAGCACTAAGTCCTATGAAATTACTATATATCCTGGCTCCTTTTTATGAAAAGGAAGATGGTCATAAATATTTTAAAGGGAAATGTGAGCTAAGCTTCTCAAAAATGTCTCATGAAGCATTTTCTCTTTTGTTAATGAGAGTTTCCTGGATTAATATGGTGTTTTTGAGCACTAAGTCCAATGAAATAACTATATATCCTGGCTCCTTTTTATGAAAATGAAGATGATATATGGAAATTCAAAGTAAAGAGATTACAAATTGATAAAAATGTTACCTTTTAAAAATTTAGAATTAAAAATTAAGAATCCAATTTCCAAATATAATATGGGATTCTCAATAATATTGATCTTCCATATAAACATCAATAAATATAACACAAATCTAATATAATATGCAATAAATAACATATTTCCTTAGAATAAAGGTCATACAATTTTTTGCAGTTGTACAAATATGATTTGTACTTGTAAGTAATATATTTCCCTCCAGACCACAAAGTACCTGCCTTTTAATATTGCTAATTTGATACAGTATGTCAGGCAATATTTGAAAATGGAAGCATAAGCATTCTTATGTAACATTTCTAAAGTTCTATGACTTTTCATATAATGGTATTGCATACATTTGTAGATTTTTTTGTTGAATGACTTTTCTGAGTAGTTTGCTGCTGACTGTTTGATTTTGAAACACTAAATAGGCAATGTAGAAAATTTTGAGTTGGAGAATTTAAAGAAGATATTGCTGTAAAATTTTCTATTTTTAAATTTATTCCATAAAAAAATTCAAAGATCAAGCATTTTTCATGCCAGATTACTGACATTCAGAAACCACATTCACAAAGGAAGATCACAGCTAAGACTGATATTGCAGACACATTTGATATACTGTAGAATCATTCCTAGAATTCATTAAAGACTTGAAGATGGTAATATTGACACTGATGTTCTGAGTCCCCTTAACCTGGTGCTTTGCATCTTCTACATAGCAGGACCCCCTAGACTTCACAATACAGCTTCAACAGGAGCTAGGCTGTGTTTTCTATCTGTTGGTCAGAAAGAATCTGAGTGGGAATCAATTGAGAAACAGCAAACCACTTCTATCTGTGAAGAGGAGATAGAGGTAATTCCACAGTTCCCAGCATAACTCTCTTTCCCAGACCTCATTCCCAGAATCAGAAAGGCAAGATGGAAAACAATTATGACTTCTAGAATTGCAGTCAACTGCAACAAACTGGCCCCAGACTGCAGCTGTGTGACCTGCAGATTGTACCTTATGATGAACTCCTAAAGTTTCTCCTTCATTTTTATGCAATCCATAGCTGGCTTTGCCTTGCCTCGTCATAGTTTTAGACTGAATTTTTTATCTTACTGAATATTTTGATATTGAATTACTTCTCCAATTAAACTCATGCTTATAGAGATTCAGGCCTCCATTGGGGATAAGCTGAATATAATAAGAAGGATTGTAAATGTATGGGGATAAATCAGCTTCAATATTCATTATAATTTATCTTATTTGCATTTATTCCATAAATGAATTCACTACTGATATCTTAAAAATAACAATACTACATATTATAAATTTTCACTATAAATTTTCTCAACTTAATAGATACAAAGTAATAAGTGCTATAATAAAAGTCTCAATTAACAGCTTTATAGAACTTATTCACCCAGTGTTAAAGGAAATAATTAACACAGCTTTAAGTATTGGTATCCTTGGATATTGACTTAAATCACGGATTATTTTTCAAGACTAAATTCTAATCTGATATTTTATCAAAAATGAAATTACATAAAAATTAAAATATAAATTTGAATATATGCATAATATACAAAAAGGTTAGGTGGATTATTATGAAATTAATGTAAAGCATAGTAAGTACACAAATATAATTTTATTAATAAAACACCAGGAACATTTAACATTGGCTGTAAGTGTGCTTTGTGGCCACTATCATGTGATATTATGCAGCCTTATTCACTCATAAAGACAATTGACTCAAACCAAAAATATACTCACTAAACACCAAATAAAATGTAATTAGCTTAATTTTTACCTTAGTAGAGCTTCACTAAGATTCTCTTTGTTAAATCAAGTGTAATGGCAAAGTATTTGTAGTGTCAAAAAAACTGGGCTAATCTAGGTTAAGTTCTTACTATACAATATCTAATCCATTGTATGAGTGTGTGATTTCATTGGGCAATTCCAGGTCTGAAAAGTACAGATGGGCAAACCAAAATATTGAAGCTTCGCTGGGTTCATGCCATTTCTTCCTCTGTCCATAAGAAAATAAAAATTGCATGAAAAAACCCGGATATAATGGAAGTTTACTTAGGGAAGACTGTGCAGGTCTTGTGAAGAGCCATCTTATTACTCACACAGCTTAGTTTTTGATGTAGTTACACTAATTCTTTGGAAATTCTTGAGTTTAATAGTATGGTGTTATTTTATGTACTTCACACAAATTCCCTAATTTGGGGAATCAGAGTTATCCTGTATCTTTATTTCAAAAATCAAATGTAAAAATCACTTGTCTTTCCTCTTTCATGAACAAAATGGTCCGCTCTAATTATGACTATTACAGTTTTTATATGGCAATGCAGGGCATCTTATAAGCCTCTATTGTTTCTTCATAGAATAGCTAACTGCACCATCCAAATGGGCCAAGCCAATGCAACAACGCCAGGTGAATTCATTCTGATGGGTGTCACAAGGCTTCCTGAGCTACAGCTGCCCCTTTTGGGGGTTTTCCTCATCATCTACAGCCTCACAGTGGTGGGAAATCTGGGCATGATCATCCTGACCAAGCTGGACTCCCGACTACATACACCTATGTACTTTTTCATCAGACACCTGGCATTCATTGATCTTGGGAATTCCACAGCCATTTGTCCCAAGATGCTGGTGAATTTTGTTGTGGATCAAAATACCATCTCCTATTATGCTTGTGCCACACAGATGGCCTGCTTCATTATGTTCATTGTGAGTGAACTTTCAATCTTGTCCTCCATGGCCTATGACCGCTACGTGGCCATCTGCAACCCCTTGCTCTACAATGCGATCATGTCTCAGAGACGATGTCATGTGCTGGTGGGCATTCCGTACCTCTACAGCACCTTCCAGGCTCTGCTGTTCCCTATTAAGTATTTTACATTGACCTTCTGTGGTCCCAATGTCATCAGCCATTTCTACTGTGATGTCGTCCCCTTGCTACCGTTGATCTGCTCACAAGTCAAAGAGACAGAATTGTTAACTATACTATTTTCAGCATTTAATTTAGTCTCTTCTCTTCTCATAGTTCTTTTGTCCTACATGCTGATTTTGTTAACCATATGTCGAATGAGCTCTGCAGAAGGCAGGAAGAAAGCTTTCTCCACCTGTGGTTCTCATCTGACAGTGGTGGTGGTGTTCTACGGGACCCTGCTCTTCATGTACGTGCAGCCCAAATCTGCTCACTCTTTTGAAACTGATAAACTGGCATCAGTGTTTTATACTTTAGTGATCCCCGTGCTTAACCCCTTGATTTACAGTTTAAGGAATAAAGAGGTAAAAAATGCTTTTCATAGAGTCTTTAAAAATATATGAACACTTTCCATTACTCAGTATTGAATGTTCTTAATAGTAATCTATGATAAATGCAACTGTCACATGATGATAATTGAAAGTTAATTGCACCTTTAACTCCAGAGCAAATTTATTATAGTATAAAAATGCATGGATTGATTTATTTATCCTTAGACAAGCTATTGCTTAAAGTTTAAATCTCAATTAAAATATCTTTCTTGCTCTCATTTCTAGCTCTGGTTCAGTGTGCCCTTCAGTGATTCCACGCAATCTGTCAGTTTAACTTTGGGGAGCAATTGCTAAACTCTATGTCAACAACTTGTATTTTTCTCTACCAGTTAGTATTGTAGGAGCAAGTCTCTTTCAGAGAATGTTTCTATTAAAATATTTGGAGCAATAAGTATTAAAAACTTGTTACTGCAAGTGCTATCTATGATTACTTTTAATATCGATAATGAACATCTGTTTTGCATATTATTTTTTAGATTTACTTTTATTATTTTTAATGATATGTATATTGGGTTGCTTGTATGTGTGTTTGTTTATGCATGTTTGTATATGAACAGGAGTTCAGGTGCCCCCAGGGACTACAGTTGTTGAATCCCCCAGGAGATGTACAAACTGTCTCCATCTTTTGCAAAAAGAGCATCTTTGAGAAATGAGAGTTACACTTAGCTGTAGGTTTAAGGATAACTGCTTAGAAGAAAGTTAGAAATTGCATTGATTTAGGGAAATGTGAGTAGCAGTTTATTCTCCTCTATTTATGAAATCTGTAGCCATGGGTATTTGGCTAGGTTTATAATACCAAGCACAAATTTCCATCCCACTGATCAAACTTTAAGTGCAAGTAGATGGTTGTTTATTACTTCCAAACGAGTGCCACTGTTGCACTGTTAAGGATATTTTACCGAGGTGGTCATTGTTGTGGTTCATAGGCTTTACAGCTAGATAGCTGATAGGTGCATAGTACCTTCCAATATTATGAGATCAGGTCTTCAGGGAGGATTCTACCAGGTCATTTCCAGCTCAACCTTCCTCATTCTGTGTCTAAAATGTGTGGTGTCTCAGGCTATGGGGACTTACCTTAAAGTTCTGTGGAGCAATCAAGGAAAATGGCAATAGCCTTTGCTGTTTAGGGAGTCTCTGCGACTACCCTAACCAGCAACTCAAAAGGAGGTTTTTAATGCCTGATAGATTTTTTTTTTTTAAATATACATAGTCTATGATTCTGGGAGAGAACATTGTCTCAAATATATGTATATTATTATTCTTATAAAAGAATACATTTCCCTATGGCTTTTAAAACATTTTATTTCTTATTTTTTAATTTTATATGTATGATTGTATTGTCTGCTCCTATGCATTGAACTTTTGTCATTAATTGCTGACATAAGTCAGAAGGCACTAGATCACCAAGAACTGGAGTTACATATGATTGTTAAGATGCCACGTGGGTGCTGGAAACCAAATGTGGGTCCTGTGTAAGAGCAGCCAGGGCAGCTGAGCCATCTCTGCAGCCCCCTCCCTGTGCTTTTTCAAGCTTCTTTGGTGTTATTTCTCTCCTTCCTCTCCTCTGTATTTTCCTCCTTATTCCTTCCCTTGTTATATTAGTGCCCACATATTTTCCATTAGTTTTAATGACAGAAAGTTTAACTAGAATAGTAGTGATGAAGACGGAGATGAAGGACTGAATTCATCAACTTGATTCAGGAATCAAGTTGGTGGTAGGATGCAACAAAATCTGATTTATCAAATGACCTATAAAAATTAATCAAGATAAGATAAGCAACTTATAAACCAATCTGTAATAACCAATGAGATTGAAGCCATGATAATAATAACAATAATATGAAGAAATATCCCAAGTAAACAGGTCCAGACCCAGATGGCTTCACTACAGACTTTTACCAGGTAACTAGAGAGAAGAGAACATTAAAACTTTTTAAACATTTCCATAAAACAGAAAAGGAAACAACACTACTGTACTATGTTTTTGGAAACCATTTTCCTGATATTAGAACAAGATAAAGACACAACCGAAAAGAAATCTACTGCCAAACATCACTGATACGAATAGATGCACAGGAAGCTTGCTGCTCCATCAATCTAGACGTGGAGGGGAAGCTGCAACCATGAGCCATCCATAATTCGGTTGCCTAACAAGACCTGAAAAATGAGAAAACAATTGACATGCCAATGTTGATAGGGGAAATGATACAGGGTCCTAACTCTAGATGAAATGTTACAGGCAATCAGTGGATGCTGAGGGAAGGAGAATCAGTTTTCTCCAGGGGCATGATCCCTTGCAAGTTATCTGATCCCAGTTGACCCTACTAAGCTCATGTATACACGAGCAACAGTAAAGGTATTCAGTACATTTTATATATAGAGATAAATATATTTATGCACTATAAAGCAATAATAATCAAGGAGAAGTCAGGAGTCTGGGAGTACAAGATGGAGACAGGGAAAGAATTGTAGGGGGAGTAAGAGGAGTGCAAATGATATAAATATGGCACTTACACAAGAAATTCTCAAAAAGTATTCTAAAATGTATGAAATAGGCCCAGGGATAACAACACTTGCCTATAATTCTATCACTTGCATGACTGAGGAAGGAGGATTGTCATACGCAAAAGTGAGAACACACCAAGAATATCATTCACCATCATCAAGTAAGCTTACTCCAGAGACGGAAGGACGGTTCAATACACACAAATTAATGAATGTGGTACACAGAATACTTGGGGAGAGAATTCACAAAATCATTGCAATAGATACAGAAATTTCTTTATAAAGACAGTACCCCAACACATATAAATGAAGAAGGCAGGAAGCCCAGACCTTATATGAAGATCAGTTGGGAACTGGCAGATCCTGACATAATGAGAGTCAGTTTTCCTTACTAGTTTGATGACTGGTAGGTTGACAAGATGCCAAGAGGAAGACTCACACCCATGAGCACTTCAGAAACACAAATTAGATTTGATAGGCCCTAAAACAAAATACAACTCATAATAGAGGACATGAAGTAGGTAGGAAGGCTGGAGTGGCGATGGGGAGGGGTCTATCATCAAAATACATTGTATTATATCATTCTGTCAAATAAAATACTAAAACACATTTGTATTGATTCTTTGAAAATCTCATGCAATGTACTGTGATGATATTGAGAACGCCCTCACTCAGGACCCAACCTCCCATTTACTCTTAGGCCCATTGCCAGCTCAGTAATCCTCTCACAACATGTCATCTGTTTTTTAAATTTTATTTATTAGTTCTTTTTATTTTATGTATGAGTGTATTGCCTGTACGTGTGTAAGTGTACCCATGTTTTGCAATGCTTGTGGAGGTGAGCAGAGGGATTCTGACACCCTGGCACTGGAGTTACAGATGGTTATTAGCCTCGATGTGGGTGCTCAGAACTGAACCTGGGTCCTCTGCAAGAGCAGTCAGTGCTATTAACTGCTGAGCCATCTCTCCAGCCCCCTAATTTTATTTTTAATTGAATTTTTGTAATTTTTATAAAATATAATTTGATAGTATTTAGAAATCTTTTCCTTATCCACACCTCCCACCACTGATTCCACACAATTTAGTGTACTTTCATAGATCGATAGATGGTAGAAGGTTAAATGTATATTACAGCCTATAGAGTCTGATTTGTGTCCCCAAATGTCCTTCAGTTTGGGCCCATATACAGGGCCTCCTAAGAGTGCCATTCTTGTAAGACACTGCCTTTCCCCATACCAGCAGTCACTAGTTGCCAAAGTTCTTGAGTTTGGGTTGAGATTTGTTACCCATAAGAAATAACATCTATATGGGGATTTTGTCTGAGCTTGCATAAGACTTGTGCATGCTGTTACCATTTCTGTGAATTCTGGAAATGTCTGTTTTCTTGTGGTCATTCACCCTCTCCAGCTCAGTCTTTCTACCTCCTCTTCCACAATGACCTCTGAGCCTTTTGAGGCAGAGGTTTGAAATAGATGTCCTATCCAAGGATAAGCCCCCTGAGGCCTCTTGTGCTTTATACACTGGTCAGTTGTAGGTTTCTGTGATAGTTGGCATCCCCCGCATAAGGTAATTTCCATGGAAAGTATATCCTATAGGATACACACACACACACACAGGTTGCAATAAAGATGTGTCATTTGGAGTTGGAGTTAATTGTCTCACAGACACTTATTCCCTAGATTTGAACAGATTTGGAACTCTGTAATAGTCTCCATCCACTGCAAAAAAAGAAGCTTCTTTGATGTGTGGTTACAGGCATACTTGTCTGTAAATATAAAGATGTATAATGAACACATAATAAGAAATTACATGTGTCAAGAAATGTGACATATTTAGGGTTTTCCCTAGGGCCCACGACCTCTCCAGTCATGTATATTTGACTATGTTTGCAGTACCAGACATGAATTCGTCCTATTGAGTGAGCAGTAATACCAATTAGACAGCAGTTGAGGACCTCCAAGATGAATCTACCAATACTGGACCAAGAGAGATAGTTTTTGGGGACCACTCATTGTTTACAGCTGTTTTACAGCTAGGACGAGTGACTGGTTTTTCATCTTTGTATAGCATCCTCTGATACCATGACAGCTAGTTTCTAGAGTGTAGGCTTCTGGGTCAGTTCAGTTGCTCCAAGCCTTGCCTCTGAAGTGTGGCCTTTATCTTTCTAAGGACTGTTCTCCACATATTAAGTCTGCTATGCAAGACCATAAGACTTATGCTTAAAGACAGCCTGACTCAACATCCATTTTTGCTTTTGTTTTTCATTTTGTTGGTTTTCAAAATTTTATTGAATTTTTGTGAATTTCATATTTTTATTTGATTATATTTAGATTCCCTCCTGCATCTGCATCCTGCCTTTGTAACTCACACAATCTCTGTTAAATATCTGTATCTATATTGTGTGTGTGTGTGTGTGTGTGTGTGTGTGTGTATTAAGGACTGTAGAGTCAGTTTTGTGTCCCTAAATGTCCCTCTGTGCAGATTCATTCACTGAAGCCTGATCATCC